AACAGCTAGGTGCTATGACAATGGATCTTAATTACTAATGCACAGTAACTTACATCCCGGTCTGCACAAACTCCTCACACTGCACAACCACAGACTCCCATTTTGTAATAGCTGAAAGCTGACTGCATGGCATTTTCAGATGAGAGCTCCCAGTTCTGGATTTCTTTTTCCTTTTGGTCCATCAACTAGAGTTAGTCAAAGTTTTTACAGGAGAACCAATAGGTAAAAAAAGCCGTATTTTCTGTGCTTGTTTTTCAAACAGCTCTATGTTTCTAGCTTTGGTTTAAGCTTTGGAAAGACTCCTTAGCGTACTCATTCTTTTGCTCAAACTTACTGGTGAGGAAGTGCACCTTTACAGATGGCCATGACTGTCAGCTGGGGAAGCTGCTTCTGAGCTTATACTTCTGGTCTTAACTGGGTTCAAAGCCTGGAACCCTTAAAAGCACTTACATTCACTAGTGCCAGCACCGCGTAGCTCTCATTACCAAATGACTCTCATTAGTGTCTTCACATAGGCGAAAAGCAGACCTGAAAATCTGATCAATGGATCTGTTTATGGGCAAATGTAGTATTGGGTCAGGACAAAAGGTTAGCAGAAACCAAAACACCATAACACACATTTTAGAGGGCACATAAACATAGTTCTAGTCTCATGTAACCTGCTGAATTTTGAGATGAACAAATGCTCATTTGCAGAACTGTACAAAAGTTTGATCATTTATGTTTTCATGGAAAAAAATTGTCTTTCTAATGTTTCACAAAAACGCTGTTGAAATTTCCATTTTCAACATTTGCTGTGGAATCTTTTTATTCCCATTTATAAAATGTAGCTTTCATTATTAAGTTTTTCCCCCTTCTTTTCCTTTCCTGTCTTCCCTAAGTCATTTTCAAAACAAACATCATTTTAAAAAGTATTGGGGAAAAAAGGAAAAACCTTGGAAAACTATAAGAATATAAAATAAACAAATCCATTTTGAATCCCAGAAAATGAAAACCTGGATTTTTTTACTAGTTCTAATGATTTCTGAAACACAACATTTGCTAGGGATTGTTATTTCATAGTTCAAGATAAAAGGCAACATTGTCCCACATTATCTTTATGCTAAAGGCTTAAATCAGAATAGATGACGCAAAAGAATTAACAGATTCACAGGGTCCACTAAAAGAGTTCACTACATTTGTTTAAAATAAACAAATACAGTAAGCAATATTTTGTGATAGCTTTGGGTCTTTTCAGATTAGGTTTACATTTCTAAATGGGGGTCATCAGCTAGTAGTACTATGTAAGCTATGCTAGACCTTTATTGGCAGCACAATAGAGCTAGCTGTTTGTACAAACGAATACCACCAGCTGGCCAGTCACCAATTCTCATCCTCAACACGGCATCTTTCCAAAATGTTCAGTGGGCTTGCAGTCAGCACAGAATGTGAATTTTGGCATCCCAGTAGGATCTGAATTTCATCAATATAAAAGCATCGTTTACGCAAGACCAACATCACAGGTGCCCCTCACTTGATTAACAACCTGGCAATCTGTCTTCTTGCTGTATGCAGCTAAGGGAGCAATCTAAGTCATGTAACTCTAAATCACTCTCCATTATGTAGGGGACAATTTTATGCCAACAACCTACCTATCTTTTACACAGAACAAGGATTTCAAAAGCCATTCAGTGAACACTGCTAACCACTTTGTAGAGCTGAGAATTGCTGAAGCAATTTAATTCAATAAATATAATTAAAGAAACTCTATTAGGCTTTAAATTTTAATACTTCCCTAGTTTCCTAAGCCTGGGGAAGCTGTTATGTGAGTTGCTATCACACACTATCACACTAATATAACGAGTTCTAGTAATTTTCAAGACAGGTTCTGGCTGGCAGCTGTCCCTAAAACATTTAGGCAACCTGCCCTGGAGGTGGTCCCTAGATTGGCAAACAACCGGTCCCAGGAAACATACTCCAGATCAAAGTGAGATATTTATAAGTATTTTCATTATGGGGTTGAATTTCTAAGAGTTGTGGCTTAGGATCACAAGTTTCACTAAATGGATTCACGTTTAGCACTTAGATGTTTGTGAAAAATCCCACCCAAACACAACACTCTTCCACTTCAGTGTCCTGGGCAACTGGTTCTTTCTCCTCTGATATGGTATCTATCATTCCTTGCTTGGAGGCTGCAAGGTAAGGGGCCATACAGTGATTTTACAGCCCACACAACTAGGCATTGCAAATGATTTGAAGCTTGAAAAAGGTTGCTGATCTGGTTCCACACATTTCTCATGTCTTAGGACAGCACTGGTTGTGAGCACCATGGCAGCTATATAATGCACTTACTTAGCATGCAGGACTTATTGATGTATTTTTGTGGTGGCCCACTAAGGATCTACCACTGTTGCTTCAACAACTTAAGGCATAAAAGACAAAGTTTAGGAATTAAAGTGGCCAGAGTGTGAACCCCCATGTTCCCATGTAAGTTAGATGGTAAAAAGTGTCCAGGGCACTCAAATTCATTACAAGGCATGCCTAATAACCCCCACCAGACAATCAGTACTTTGGCTTAATTAAGAAGCAGGATCAAGTCCCAGTGAGTTCTCTTAAACCTGATGGGACAGAGGCTCTATCAAAGTATCAAAGATGGAGGTGTGAAGCAAAGAGAACAGATGGGTTGTGGTGAATGGAGAAGAAATGGAGTGGAACCATAGTGCTTTGGTGGAGAAGCAAAATGAAAAAAAAGTCTAGGCTAAGACAACAGTATAAATCTTAAGATGGTCTAATTTAGAATAGCATCACTGCACTCCATGGAGTTCTGCCAATTGACAACAGCTGTGAAACAGGCTCTTAGCCTTTAAATGTAATGTATTTACTGCAACCTGGTGGAGGTAAAGTCAGCTCAGGGCAGGGTAATAAGGCCTTGGTGCAGATGTTCCTGTATGGTGTGTGGGTTTTAATACAATCCCTAAATTGCAAGCAAGATTTCTTTTTATACTGCAGTACCTAGAAGAGAAAAACAGCAGTTAAATAATAGGTAAATATCTTCCATAATTGTGCACACAACTGGTGGAGGAAGCATTACCTGAATAAACATATTTTTTCCAGTGCATCTGATCTCCTGGAAAAAGGTGCCTTGTGAATGAAAGGCAATATATTCTATTAAATGTAAGGTCAATTGAATGCAACTCCATATCTATGGTAAACATTTTTATATTTTTAAAGCAAATTATGTTGATTAGCAGTATTAGGATGCCACTATGGATGTGTGAAGAAAATAAGTTAATGTGCTGTAACCAATTTGCAAACATTAGGAAATTAGCTGCAACACAAAGCTAATTAAATAAGAAAGGCCAATCCACATTAGGGGAGCAGGTTAGCAAAATGGCGTTTTAAAAATGAAGTCAATACAAAAAGAACAAGTGAGCAATCCCCTCCATAGGTTGTTACCAGAATTCCTGGAGCTTAGTACCTACCCAAAGAGATTCTGTTGACTGCTTGTGAAATAGAGTTCCCCATATTTCAGCCCACTGAAGGCCCCTTTCAAAAGTTTGCCTTGTAATTCCACATGTCAATGACTACCACCCTTCTGCTCAGTAAATCCCTATTCACAGAGTCGTTCCTCTGCCCCTACAGAAGCTGATAACAGAAATGTTAGCAGTTCCCTTTAAATTCTGAACGCATTAGTCAGTGATGCTGCAACACTGAAGAAATTCAACTTCTTTATCATAAACATCTTGCTTGAAAACAAAACCAGATTTAATGAAAATGCATTCACAGAGCAAGTGGCAGCCTCAAGGCCTGATTTTGTACACACTTGTTTTATTTATTTTCCAGCCCTGCTGTTTTTCATAAGGACAGACTTTTTTCCTTCTAAATCCCATTTCATAATCCTGCCCGGAGCATCTCATCTGTCAAGATGCGGTCCCTAAAATGAATTTCAGTTCATTGTTCTACATGACCCTGAGTGCAGACCTTGGACAGCAGCACTTCCCCGTTTGTTTAACCTCAGTTATAATTAAATTATTTGAGTGCCATACACAATAGCACACAAAAAACAGCATGAGCCGCATCCCCAGAAGACAAACTGTGACAGCCTGACTGATTTATGTGGAACATGCTAAATGACACCAACTGAAGATTTGGACCTAAACAGCTTCCTTTTATAAATATACATTAGATAGACATGTCCTGCAAAAATGCTCATAGGGAGAACTGGGCCTTAGGTAGGACAGAATATTTCCAGAACTCCAGGAACCCAGCAAATTAAAAGGATAAAACCACTGGGTCAGATTCTGATATCAATGAGGGCTAATTCAAGTCTAAAATAGCTCCACTGACTGGAGTTTGTCTAGATTTACAATGGCATAACAGAGATCACAATCTGGCCCATAGCATATAATTATCTCTTCCATTCAACACAGTGAAACCTGTGCTAGTACTCACTGCTAACTAGAGTCTTTTCTCCTAACAGCCAGTAAAGCCTCTATTCCCATGAGAGATCTCCCCTATTAATCACAAAATGTTATATGGCCACCTGTTATAGTGGCCAGAGAAACATTCATTCCTTTAGTGGCTTTTATGAACAAGCTACACTGCATTACACAATTTTTTATATGCGTAAACTGTGTTCTCCCACTGCTTCTGTTTTCCTTCCCTCCTCAGAATTTGATCAAGAATTCTATAGAGGCATATAGCTTAAAAAATGTAAACGGACCTCAAAAATGCAGTAATTATTGCTTACACTACCCACCTCCACAACAGCAGTTGTACCCATCACATCCCTTTTCATGTTCCATCCGTTACTTCAGCTTTTCATGTGGTTACTCAGGTACAGTAAAACTTGATTTTAAATATGACTGGTGCCATTGTCTTCCTCTTCTCAGCCAAAATATGAAAAGAGAGCTACCCACACATGCACTTCAAGAGCAAGGATAATTCTTCTGTAAGAACTATCATTCTGACAGACATTAAAAGGAAAGGCGTCTCAAAGAAGTTTACAACAATTTAAGGAATGTTCTTGTACCAAATTTTTTACTCAGTGGTACAGATACAGCTTGTCTTTTTTAAAAAATAAGTTACAACGGAGAAACTGATGAAAACTGTCCATCTAACCATGTAATTAACTGCAGTTAAATGCTGTGCTTAAATACTCACTACACAATAGAAAGAGATTCAAATCACTACCAAGGTACACACAATTTACTTTCATTACGCTTTTCAATTACAGGTGTTCAGTTTGTAATTTCAGTTTTGGAAGTTCTTTTCAAGAACAGAGTGTTTTTTGTTGGTTTTTTTTACACTAAATGGAAATAAATACCACCTTTAGAACACACAGGAAATGCAATAAAATGGCCACTTAGGCACTGACATAGTCTAGTCCTTTGAAGCCCTCTAAAAACTACAGGACAATAGGTTTTTAAGCCACTAATGGGTTGGTGCACAGGACAGAATGCTGCCGATTTGACAGCCGATTATGTACTACACAAAAGCACATCTGCAAAAGGTCCAAGGAGATTTTTGTTAAAGATGCATCGTATCCATACCAGATATATTGTGAATGGCTTAATGTTTTCTGAAAAGGTGTGATTCTGATGGGACAAAATATAAGGCATGTAAGTGTTTTCACCTTGCTCCTGTATCCATACTTCATATTTTACCTCCCTGACCTTCAGGTACTTAAGGTTCCAAGGAATCTGCCAAGACACAGCAAGTTTAGCTTCACTAGTGCCCTGGACAGAGGCTTGACATTTGGCATCCCTCACCTTGCCAGGGTACAGACCACTAGTCCACTTCTGCTTCTTGGGTCCAGGCTTAGACTTCACAGTCTGCCTGATCACTTGGATAAGGGAGGGGATATCTACTTTTGTGTCCTGGTAGGCACGGAAAAGCCACTCGGGGTTCCGACAGCAGAGGTGCCGTGGGACCTCTTTGCTCTTTATGATGCGCTCCTGCTCCACCTTGTCTAAGTGAGCAATTCCTCCCTGATCCCAAGGCCTGTCAGGGTAGGTAACAGTGTTTTCCCTATCAGTGTTCTGCCAAGCAATATACTGGAGATCCATGCCAGGGAGTGTTGCCAGTGTTTTGTATGGGGTGTAGTGTTCAGGGTTGATAGCATAAGGAAACAGCTCCACCACAGTAGCCCCTCTTGGCAGGAAGAGAGACATCACTAATTGGGCACCATGCATGCTGACCAGCATGGATGCATTGCTGATCAGACGTACAATATCAGAAAATGAATGATCCTCTAAGGAGACTGTAATGGTTTTCATCTGAAACTCTTGGGCAAGTGCCAAAATTAGTTCTGCCTCATTTAGGATTAGTCTGTTGATTGTTCGACTGAATACAATAATATACTCTTCACTGGAACTTTCTTCCAAGCTGACATTCAGCTTCTCCATCATGAACTTGGTGAACTGCCTGATCTCATTGCCAGAAACTAAGATGTTTGCCTTTGGGCCTTGGGGCTGCACAAACCCATACTGGTACCATGTGGTGATTTTGGACAGTCCCACGTAGGATTTTGTAAAGCAAAGGAGCCGGCCCAGAGTTTTAAGCTGTTCTTTCAAGAGTGGCTGCTTGTTACTCAGTATCTTGTACAGATCGAAGTGCAGGCCTTCACTCCACCCCTCCATGAAGAACAGCCGTGACTCCTGGTCCAAGTCTGGAAACTGCTGCATGGTGTAGTAGATTGGGAGGAGATCATCGTGAAAGACATGCATCAAGTTGTCTGGGTTGAATCTGTTGGTGATCAGTGCCACATCAGGCACAAAGACTGGCTTTGGCATAAATTTCAGTGCAGCAGCTGGCAGCTCCACAAAGTTAAAATACTGGGTATTATGGTCCTCCACTGAGGAGAGATCAAGCAAGGCTGGCTGGAATCGTCTAGAGCCCAGGTTAGGCAACATGACCGAGGAGTTGCTGTGAAAGAAGACAAACTCCTCTGCCTCCGTGGAATAACAGAGGGACTCGAAGCGGCAGATGCGGTCAGTGTGCATCCTGCCTGTGCACACCATCCTGGTTCCATCCTCCACCAGTGCTTGAAGAGCTGCATGGTAATCAATCCGGACCTGAGAGAGCTCCTGCGACTGGCGAGTGAGGATCAGCTCCTCTTCCACCACAAGGACGTGCTCTCGCAGCCTGATGTATTTCCACAGCACAGCTGCAAGGACAGACACTAGCAGAGCATTAAACACTGCTGCTATGTTCATTCTGTAGCTAGATCCTAGCAAGATGACAGGTGGGGAACACAGTGGAAAGGGAAGGCATCATTAATCCTCTTTGACATGGTGAAAGCAAAGACCTGGGGAAAACAAAACAGGAAACAAACCATCTGAATATGATTTTTATAGCCCTACTCTAAATCATGTTTTATGAAGTATTCAAAGGAGTTCTGCTTTTTCAGCATTTTTCTGAGAAATGGCAGAGGCGCAAGCAAGATACTATCCACAACTAAACTTGAGAGCACTGATAATAAAAAAGGGACTGGCTACAAGGAGCAGCTCCCTCTCTAATTTTGATTTCCACCTGTTGAATAAATGTCAAGAGAAGCTTAGTGCAATTTCATTAAAGAACCTGATCAGTTATTCCCATTCAGAATGCATCTCCAGTCTAACCTTCTCATAACACATTCTGTACGGTAGTAGAGGAAGGATGGCCCAATGGTCAGGGCTTGGGAGACCAGGACGCCATACCTTCTTCTGCCATAGACTTTATGTATGACCTTGCACAAATTACTTTTTCTCACTGTACCTCAGCTCTTCATCTGTACTATGCAGATAGCAGCACTTCCCTATATCTCAGGGGTACTGTGAAGATAAATGAAGTCACAACTGTGAATCTTGCAGGGAGCATGGTAGCGGAAGATAAATAAGTACAACAGAGCATTTTTAGTTCTAGCCATTTTTGTGGTTTATGGGCTTGTCTAGATCCCTTGTTCTCCAGAAAAAATACACTGACCCTCTTCTTTTCAGCTACCTGTTTTCAAGATTTCATGGTGTAGTAGGAAAGCCTTTAAATAAAAAAAATTCAAAGTCCCCAAAAAATAAAGATCCCACGATGCTGACACAGGAGTAGAAAGTCTGTGATCCTGGGCCATGCTCTTGTGATTGGACATTTATTTATTAGGTACACATGTCACTTGTGTCGTCCCCCACTCCTCCTCTGCCACCCCCAACTCCATCCAACAAACAGCTTAGGGTAGCTTAGACTAAAAGACCAAGTAATTTATACCCCCAAATTGAAAAATAATTCATGCTTGCTACACTACCTTGCAAGAAAAATTTTACAGTTCCAATAAAAAAGTCCAGCTATATACACGCTACACAAAAACCATGCCTAAATATGGTTGGTCACAGCCATAGTACACAAATTATATAAGCAAATTTTCTTCCTACATGAACAAAACCAAATACACAATTGTTAGTGCAGGAACTTTAAAACTTCTGTTTCAAGGGTTCCTTGTGTGCCTTACAGCTCTCTAAAATGGTCATTACATGTTTATTCTTGTTTGCACTGGAAAGACTAAGTCACAGTACACTACAGCAAGGTTTGACAGCAATCAAGTTTAAACACTACTATTCTGGTAGTGTGGAATGCACCAAGGAGTACAAGTTACTGGTTTCAGCACTAACCAGCCTAGATCTCAGAGACTAATTTACATCTACATCCTTTTACACTCTGACAGTGTTAAAAGGGCGTATGTATAAAGTGGCAAACATGCCCCAGACATAGAAATGGACAAGTTCCAGCACCACACCAAGATACTGCTCATATTATGGGCTCCACAGGTGAGCAGAGGTAGGGCCAGATGTTGAAACTGGCTTCTCTCTACAACATGGTCACAGCAGGCTTTTTGGCCAGATGTGACCATTTCCTCAAACAGCATCAGAATCAATACCCCACCCCATGATTGCTGATGTACAGCCATGAATAGGGATGGATGGATAAAGGTGTGAGAATGGCAGCTGACTCAGTCCTAGTGCTGACTGCAGAGAAGAGGGGCTAGCAGGGTAGCTGTACAACTCCTCACTTGCACATTGCTGTAGGCTGGCGGTTAATCCATGAGCAGGCAAACTGTACACAGACCAATCTATCAGCAGTAAAAAGAACAAGTGGAAGTTATGGCCCTGATCCTCAGATATTTCTGCAGCCACTTTGCTTCACAATATGAGCCAAGGGAATCCTTAGAGAGCAGGATTGAAATAGCAAATCAATCACAAGGGACTCCTCCATGACACATGTGGCTCCCACTCCATTCCTCTCCTAACATATAGCAGAAGTGCAAGTAATTCAGTGCATGCTTGAGGCTGCTCTACCTCAGGGTGGCAGAAAACTGGTCCAATGTAAAGCCAGCCCTGTAAAGACAGTCCAGAGGTGGCTTTGCACCCCACACTCTCACATTGCTGCAACCAAGGACCAAAAACTATGACTTTTGTCCTCCTTATGAAAGAACAGCTTTATAGAGAGAGCCTGCCTTTGTCACGGATGACCACATTGTATTAAACTAAGCAAACCCTTTCCTAGCAAGAATAAGTCTGACTTGTACTAGTCCAGAAACTTGGGACAAACTTAAAAGGAAACATACTCCAGTTATTTTTCTCACCTTGAGGTTTTCCAAGGTGTCCAGGGTTGGCTAAGCTCAGATGCTATGCTATAGTGTCAAGGGCCTGCAGCAAGGCAGTAGCCTTAGACTTTAAGAGGGCCAGCTTCAATGAGCTGAGGAGATTAGTGGGGCAGGCACTAGGGTCCTAGAGAGTAGGGGAACTGAGCGCCCAAGATGAGTGGTCGTTCCTTAAGGAGACGATACTCAGAGCCCAAGGGGTGACAATCCCAACAAGAAGCAAAGGGGGCAAGAGTGCCCAAAAGCCCCCCTGGCTCACCTAGGAAGGGCCTATCACCAAAGAGGAGTATACCTCCACCGCTCAGGTCTGTAGGGGGGCTGTTAGTAAAGCTAAGGCAGATACGGAACTAGAGCTAGCATCAAGGATAACAAAAAGTCCTTTTTTAAATACATAGGGAGAATGAAGGCCCCGGGTAATGTGGGGCCCCTGCAGGATATGCTTGGCAATCTGTTGGTTACACCAGAGAAGAAAGCAGACCTCTTTAACAATTTCTTCACTTCTATTTTCTTGTGCAGGGACCGGGACTCCTGGGACTCCCCTGACCATGATTCAGGACGGACTTGGGAGAAACTCTGCCAAGCCTAGGGTCAGGGAGAACTGGGTTAGAGAACTTCTGGATGGGCTGGATGTGTTCAAATCAGGAGGTTGAGATGCTCTCCATCCCAGGGTGTTGAGGGAATTGGCAGGGGTTATCGCGGGGCCCCTGGCACGGCTTTACGAGCACGCGTGGTGCTCTGGCCAGGTGCCAGACGACTGGAAGAGGGCACCTGGGAAGACGGAGGGACCCGGGCAACTACAGGTCTGTTAGTCTTACTTCAATCCTGGGGGAGCTCTTTGAGATTATCAAGGAGCTGCTGTGATGGGCCAGCAGTAGGAATGATGCTCAAGGGGCAACCAGCATGGTTTCATTAGGGGCAGGTCCTGTCA